ATTTTACAAAGCTTTTTCTCTTTCAATCTTTTCTGTTACTTAACTTAAGAGCATAGACTCGTAACATATGTATGTATGTATGTATGTATGTATGTATGTATGTATGTATGTATGTATGTATGTATGTATGTATGTATGTATGTATGTATGTATGTATGTATGTATGTATGTATGTATGTATGTACGTACGTATGTACGTACGTATGTATGTATGTATGTATGTATGTATGTATGTATGTATGTATGTATGTATGTATGTATGTATGTATGTATGTATGTATGTATGTATGTATGTATGTATGTACAAATGCTACTCCTCAGCAACAACATCGTATGGTAAATTTGAATCTAATTACATAAATATAAATATAACCAAAGAGAAGAGTTGCAAACGTGTTTGTAGTTCCGAAAAGAAGAACATAATTTTTACAAAGACTGCAAGAAAATGAGACGATAAAGAAGCAAAAAGAAATGAGAACCATGAGCGTATCTTTAACGAATAACAAATTAGTACTTATATGACTTCAATTTGTCTAATGCCATTTTGAAACCATCAGGAGATCTCAGGATCCTTTTTTTTCTTGACAACGAGTGATTATTGTTTGTCACCCCAATCAGAATAAAGAGAATGAACAGTAATAATAGGATGACTATGATAGTAGGGGTAAATGTAACTAAATCAAAAGACAGACCAATGAAGGTGTCAGTTTAAGGAATAATTTCTCGATCAAAACCATTATCAAGATATGTTTCTCATAGGTTTAGGACCAACGAAAGCAAGATCTAAATCAGTTTTGTAATCATAACATGATCTATTTTCTGATCCAAGCAAGGCTTTTAGTTACAAACCACAAACTTATTTCCATCTATATATTTTCCTAGTATTAAATGAACACTCTTAATAGGTAAAAACGTTACTGTTCCCACAATCTCAAGCATTGAAATTACGTCTGTCCGTCTGTCTCTCTGATGTTTTGAAATTGTGGATTTCCAAAATATTTTCTATTTTGAAGCTTTTTTAACTCTATTTTCAATGGTTAGTTTAATAAAATGCTTTTAACGTTTCAATCAAATCCAGATTCAATGTACTACCAAAACAAAATCACTTGTATGCCCCCAAAACTTCAGCACATACTGAATCAAAATGTTCTTAATAGTTAAAGAAACATCAGCTTCATAAAGGACACAATGTCTGGAAAGAAATTTTTCATTGTTCTAGAACTCAAAGCCTTCCTTGGGTAGCATTTAAAAGTTCTCCACTTTCGATAACATTACTAAAGCTTGTTGGTTTTGCTAAAGAATTCTTTTCTGTATGAAATTTAAATCGTTATCTGGGATAACGAAAATTTTGAAACAAAGTCAATTCAAACTGGAAAGCTATTTTCTGAATATGTCTGAATTTCTTTGAATTTATTAAAATTCATATACTGGCTGTGTTCCTAGTTGTGCGCTACGAGTTTATAATCATAAACTAATTAGCATGATAATTAAAATTAATAAGGTTTATTACAAGTAAAAAATAATTCTTTCCATTGTATACAAATCGAAAATTTCAAGTAAACTGGATGAATTATGAATTAAGTCGCAAATAGAATTAAATGTTATGCATGAAATGCAGAGGACTTCATATGAATTCCGGTATATAATGAGTTATTGTGCAAATAGCCTTTGATGGCGGATATGTCAATAGTCAACATTTTTCACGATGATCTAGACAAGAATGTTCTTCAATGAATTAATAATAATCCCAATATAATCATAAATGTCAACGAGCACTTATAATTAAAATGCATTATTGTAGAATAAATTGTTCCTCTAAAATTATATCTGAGCATAAGAGTAAAAAATAAGGAGACTGAACTTAAAGTATGAATGAAGAAATTTTTTTCACTTCAGAACGTTATATAAAAAACAAAAAGCAAAATTTTAATAAGAAGGCCAGGGTGGAGCTCATTTTCCTGTCCAATGTCTATTCTGGGACATTCTAAGGATTGGCTTTAGTCTCAAATCCAAAGAATCAATCAATGTATAACTTACATACAAAACAGAAACAAGCTACAATTTCTAGAACCTTCCAAAGTATAAAGATGATGCCAACATGTTTACATATTGCAACGTATCGTATTTAATATGTGAAAAGTTGGCTTTGTGAAACGTTTCTTTTAGAAATATTTACACACAATATTGATATACATTAGAATTCGTATTGTTATTCATAACGCTTTCTAAAAGGTTATCCGTGTAATTATTTCGCAATGTACAATCCATACCGGAATAACTTGTGCAGAGCCCGTTGTCAGGTATTTTGTATTACATGTATATTTTTGGTCAGGAAGCCGCCCGTACATTGTGGCAATAATAGAGTTTGTTTGGCTATAGACGTTCATTGCTAACTGTTAAGTAAGCGACCAGAAAACTTAAGGTATTCTGTTTTCTCATCATTATTAATTCGATCATGTATCATTGGGTGAACCGCACTCAGTATTCTGAAAGAGATGGGCGAAAACGGACCAACCTCGCATAAAGCTTTATACTGAAACTATTACCCTTTCGCTTAGGCGTACTGAATTGTCATTGCAATCTGCAACATTGTCAAATTGAACAATTATGTCTTTGTTAACGCAAGCTTTCTCTTGGTTTCTGGTCTTAGATCGGTTACATGCATTTTTGTCGTATGAGAACACATTCTGCGAAAATTTTTGAGGTTCGCGGAATAGTCCGCCAGTATAACCATATCAGATATATTCGTGAAGAAGTAATATGTCAGAGATACTCTCGAAATGTGTTTTTAATTATCACATTCAACTCACCGCTATAAATAAGCTCAGGTCATACTGACGAACTTGGTGAAAGTGTCGCCTATTTTGGATTTATCATACTTAACTGTCTTGTGAAAATCTCACTTGGCTAACTAATTTCCTTTAAGAAGTAACTCTTAGTGCGTAGTAATTTAACGCTAATATAGATACGAAAATACTTTTAGAGCTTAGCTTTGTAATAATTCAAATTGTCTCGTATGTTCACTGACCATATTCATGTCTTCCATTATCAGCCTCATTACATCTGTCTCCTTTAATCTATGTTCCCTTTCACTAACCTGCTTATCTTGTACAAATTTTATAAGGTGCTCTCCTTCATAACCAAACTGTTTGAGCAGATCCATTTGATCTATGTTTGACAACATCCATACTACTGTTGATACAGTACCCTCTTATGAGTGATTAACATTGTTAAACGTACAATTCTGGACTTATCTTAATTCACACTTTATTTTCACCGCTGCCGCATGTATTTATTTTATCACGATCGTAAAACATAACTAAACACTTTGTGATCTTACAGAATGGGAAAAACTGCGTGATACATTTTCACTACTGGCTATGTTAAAATAAACATACCTATAATACGTACCATCCAATGCTGACTTCGGAAGGTTGATTGCATTCTTAAGCATTCTCTAAGTTCCCACATTCGCCAATAAGAAACAATCTTTGTACATGCTGGCATAAAACAATTAGTAATTCTAGCCGTTTGTCTAGTTTCTGACAGAAGGTATTGTAATTACATTGCTGTCTTAAAAAGCTACTGTCTTATATAAGTCCAATTCTGTATACAATTCAGAGATATAGCTGCAATAAAAGCCTTTGTATTCTGTTCAATCAAATCAAGTTCAAACATTGTCATTCTAAAAATTTTTATTGAATATAATGACCATCATTTGCAATATTGTGAAATCAGTCTTCCCCGTCTTTAGTTCTAAAGGAAAAAGAGAAGAAAAAATGATTTTTCAGTCTGTTCTGAATATTGATATTTCTACCATGAAGAAAATAAATATTCAAGCTTTGTGGGACTACAATTTTTTTGTTGTTTTTCTGCAGGTGAATTCCTTGCTGAACATCTTGCTAATTTACATCCTGTTTACGTAATATAGTAGAACATGTGTTGCTTACATCAACCCATGGTAATCAAAATGAAATGTTGTCAGTAATAATGCTAATTTGAGTGACTTTCTATTTCTAATCAACGAAATAGTCTTCCGCTTATTGCTATTGCAGATCTAAGGCATACCCTGAGAATAAAACTTATCTGGAAATCCTTACTCAATAATCATTTGTTTTATGGCTAAAGTGAGATACGTTTAAGTATCAGTTTCTTTAGGTATCAAGAATCCTGTTCAACACTATTTTGTACTGCTGTAATGCAGTTGTAGAAATGCTTAGTTTTGCTTGTTTTAAGACGCTTAGAACGTTTAATTATCGCACTTTTTTTTAAACCCGTTCTACGTTTACGGGTATCTTTGTAGTGATATGTATTGATTTATGTTGTGGGCTTATGATTTATCACGGATTTTAAATTGTAAACTTAAGATTTGCATAGTTAACGTTTGTCCATCATTGTAAGTTGTATATAGAAAGTTTATACAGTGTTTGAGTTCCAGAGCATTCCTGTTTACAATTAGATTAGGGTTTTCTCCGTGAGAATGCTTCATGTTTTATCTCGTCATGATACAGACTGTTTACATAGAAAACTTTTTTCCACGGTTGTTGTTTGAAACAGAATGTTCAATTGTATTCTTATTTATATTTATGCTATATTTGTTCGCTGTAGTACTTAAAATTCTATTATGTTGTAGGTCAACTGAAAATATGTAAAAATAGGGACCTCGGATTCCTGTTTTAAGTCATTCTGTGGGAATTCATTTTGAAATAAGTTTTTGAAATCAGATATAAATCAAGTGGAATTATGTATTTGTGATGTGATGTAATGTGATTATCATTTTTAACACAGCTTTAACAATTTTTAGTCATATAACTACGATGTCTGCATTAAGGCAGTTTGTACTGACGTCTCGCACTGGGCCATAATGTTGCAGACATGTAGCATGATGTTCCACCCAGTCACATTATTCTGACACCAGGCCTACCAGTCCTAACACTAACGTCTTAATGCTGAGCGTCAAGCGAGGCAGATGCTAGTACCATTTTTGTAAGTCTTTGGTATGACTAGATTAGGGATTGAACCCAGGACCTCCCGCATCCGAGGCGAAAACTCTATCCACTAGGCCACCGGAGCGGTTTGAATTATGTATTGAAAATATTCAATAGGAATTACTAAATTGCTGATCTATTTTTGTGTAATACCTTGATTAATACCTTACCTTGATTTGAACCTTATCTTGATTAATACCTTACCTTGATTAATATCTTGTCTTGATTAATAAGGTACCTTGATTAATACCTTACCGTGATTAATACCTTACCTTGATTAACACCTTACCTTGGTTAATATATTGTCTTGATTAATACTTTACATTTGACTTTTGTTAGCTGATATAAAGATATTATGGATTGCATGATTATATTATTTCAGGACAGTAAAGACTATTGGAATTTATTCAGGACATTATGCTTTTTTGTACTTGTGATAGGACATTTAGAATTTTTTAAATTTAGTTTCCAATATTGTAAGTGTTTGTTTGAATTTTTATTTTATTGTGTAGCACATAAGCTGCTTGTTGACTTTACTTGAAAGGTTGTTTCCACCATTTTTCTGTTATATATGTTTAGACTTAGAGTCGTCAACATAAGCACTCCTTTAAAAGCATACATTTATGTTACCTGTTTGTTAGGTAGTTTGGTAAAAGCCATCACGATTAAGGTGTCTAGGTTTTTCTAATGTAACAGCAAGACCAAAAGAAGAATACAGAGTAAACATCTTCACCGACCTTTCAAGTAATTAAGTGACTTTTTCTCTTTCTTTTTGAACACATTAGTTCATTTTGTATGCATTTGCTCTGGAACAATATCATTATTTCCCCCATCGTAAGTCCCATTAAAATCTCATGACTTGAAAGGAACAATTACTTCCAGCAAGGCTAAACCTATTTGGAATTACATCAGCAACCATTTCAGCCGTCTATTCCATTCAATCTAATTATGGATGATTAGCACTAATATCTTCAAATCTCCAACTATAAACTATAAACCGCGTGACTTCTAAATCATATGCTTTTATTGTTCAAATCTACAATATTATAATTGAAAATCAACCTCTGGTAATAGTTTTTTTTTCAAATTGTCTTGCGTGTGTCTAGCTACTGACCGTTAATTTAATTTAAAGTCTAAATTTCGATATGATTTTATTGTTGAAATCATAAAAGTGAATATTTTTTATTTTCATCAAAAATGTGTTATGCTTTGTGCTTCCGTCTCTGATCGAAAAGAGAGACAATGGCAATGCTCAGCCAACAAATTGATCTAAACTACCGTTTAAAGAGTATAAGGTTGGTCAACTCTTCCATGCGTTTAAGAATATTGTTCTGATCTTTAAACCAATACAACGAGTGGTGTCGAGATAAACTTCTAACCTAACATTCTCCAAGGTAGTTCCCAATAGAATATGTTACCGAATAAGGCAAGAAATAACTTGGTTTTGACTTAAATCTATTTTTTATTTTATTAGTTGAGTAGGCCTACAATGATACCTGGGGTGAATCATTGTTTCTCCAGGCAAGCGAATCTGAAACAACATGCGACGGAAATCATGAAGGCATAGTATACTTGAGTATTCGACCATGAATATTATTTACTCTAATATGGATTTAATATGGATTTAATATGGATTTCGGACCTAAAGCCTGAATAATAAATATATTATCCCATGCGGAGTACTTTTTTGCTAAATCCTGCTTGTGATTCTTCTATCAGACCAAACTCTTTCACCCACGTGCATATAAGAGCATTCAAAATGTCAGTGAAGATCTTTTATAAAGTATCAAATAAGGATCTCCCTCTGTAATTGTTCTGGATCGTACTTGTCGCCGCACATATATATATATATATATATATATATATATATATATATATATATATATATATATATATATATATATATATACATATATATATACATACATATATATATATACAAATATAGAGATAAATATATACATAGATAGATATATATATAGATAGATAAATAGATATATATATATACATATATATATACATACATATATATATATATATATATATATATATATATATATATAGAGAGAGAGAGAGAGAGAGAGAGAGAGAGAGAGAGAGAGAGAGAGAGAGAGAGAGAACAAATAAAATTGTTTTCCCACTGTTTATGAAAATTGCCTTATCCAAAGATTTTGTTGAATAGACTGTTAAGGAATATTGAAATCGAATCATTCGTGCACTGATAGAGAAAAGTTGGCATCATATCACGTCAAGGAATTTTATTCTTGGTTTTATGTAAACGTCTCATAATTTTTTCATTTTAAATAGGATTATTTCAATCATCAACTCGTCACAAACAATATTGTCAGAGTCATCTATCTGGGACAGAGCCTTCCTCTAACACAATTGTAAACTATTCATACTTATTTTAAGGAGATACATTCCACTTCTTGTTGATAATAACGCAATTCCCGTTTCAAAATTGTCGAGCGTTTCTCCTCCATTTAGTTAATTCGTTCATCTGGGATTCTTTAGTGTATCTTTTCTTGAGTGTGATGATTGATTGAAGAGTTGATTAATACTAAATAACTGAAGGTCAGGTCCATTATCTGAGATTCCAAAGCATCGTAGCCAGTAGTTTTGATTATATTTTGCTTTTTCTCAGTCTTTATCCCATCAAGTTTTTGCTCTGTTCTCGTATTAGGCGTACTGCCTCTAGTCTCAAAAAGTGAATGCATATTCTCGTATAAATGAACTAATATTCTTAGAGATAAGCTAGTATTAGTTTCAAGATAAATGAATAGATCATTCTACATAGTCTGTGATAACATTTTTGCAAATTATTGTATATTGGCTTCAGTAAGACGAAATATTCCCATGTAGTAAGGGTACAAATATCAATACGAATGTTCTCAATATCACAAAATGTTTGATGATCATTAATATTTATTGAATGGAAAATATTACCATCATTTCTCACACGTTGACGTACTTTAAATGAACAAAATATTCGGTAAAAAATATTCGTCTTGATTCCTTACTCAAAAGCTTCTTATTTAGCTAATACTATCACTAGAATTTCCCGATAAGAACTCAATAATTTCGATATTTACTTTTGATAGCACATAATCTTTCTCTTAATAATTAACTTCCATATTCATCCCAATTGTAATATATTGGAGAATATTCAAGGGAAATGTAAGTATGTACCATAGCTATATCTTGATCAGTATGCAATGTTGATGCCTCAAATGACACAACTAGAAAATCTTAAAAGTATAAAATACTCCTTTCACATAGTCTTTTATTAGGACATATATGTGCACAATAACGGTTGCTCGTGCTGAATTCTGACATTTACTTACCTTTTAACGAACACAAATATAAGACATAATCTTAAAGTAAATGATGCAATTCCGCTAATTTTGTTCCCCAAGTTTCATATAAACCAATAAAATTAATTTTTATTGCAATAATGAAGGAAATTGTTCCGTTTTTTATACTATTGTTTAGCCCATTTTATTCCAGATTCACCACAGGAAAAAGTAAATGAATTCAACTGAGCGAAAAAAAAGCAAAACACATATAGTCAAGATGATTTTTAAAGTGACACCAAAGGCACTTTTCTAACAGAGATAGAAGGTACTCTAAATGTTATGTGTGAGTAAGGCACAAACGAGTCGATTCTCGCTCTCCAGATCTTGATACTTATCCCATTTTCAATCAAATCCCCTTGCTCAGACAAACACGTTAAAGATTTGAATCCACCGGGGGACGACATATCGGAAAAATTGAAAATTAAGTATCAAGCGTAGTCTGCGTCAGCATAGGGGTCCGTAATATAGATTAAGACATACTACGAAGTTTCATCGTTGATCCGGCCTTTGAGTCTAGGAAGATTTTTTTTTGGTGGAACTGTTGATGTTCACAGTAGAATAATCGAAACTAAAGCTGCCAAACCTGCTGGTTCGTCTATTTTGGACTTGTAGAAGCTACATATGTAAGAGTTTTACTACGACAAGACGAAACCATTATACTAGGATGTGGTCAGGATTCTGGTCGCCGACACTGCCTCACTGTTGATTCATATCGTAACCAGTGTCGTGCACACGAATATTGCACACCCATGTTTAGTAAATAAAATTCATAAGAGCGAATATCCGGCTGAATATCATTTTTTATTAATACCAATAAAATGGCTGTAAACTTACAGCCGAACGCTCGGGTAAACCAATCGACCTAGAATGTATTCAGTTTTGGTTGGACTACATGCATCCGAACATAATAAGAGCGAAATGAGTCGAGTCCCACGCGTAATTATGCAGAGATATATAAAAAACGGACCGTACTTGGAATATCTTCGAGCATACAAAACAATATTATACGATGTCAAAAACGTCACATGGGTGTTTACCAGTGAACGAAGACAAGTATATATCCATCCCCACTTGCAACCAAGTGAATGATACTTCCCGGATGAACCAACACCTTGGTCAACAGGTTGTTGTTAAAATAGATCCTACTGGCAGATCCGTATTTGCTGAGATAACTTGCAATTCCTCTCGCAACAAATGCTCTGCTTGGTGGGTTTTCTTCTTGTTCATTATCAGGCCATATACTCTAATGTGTTGTTTGTCATGCAGATTCAATCGGTTCCAAAATTTGCCAACAATATATAGACAATTATAGACAATAATGACAGTGAGTGCTATAATTGAATATGAGTTTTTGTTCCACTTGTAGACGAATATCTGCGTTAGAGTGCTTTTACCAGACCCTCTTATACCAGGACATAAGATCTTGTTTAGCAGCAAATAGAAAACGACTATCGGAAAACATGTCTGCGGCAATATCGGAACCACCTGATCTACCACAAGAAACTCTAAGTAAGCTAGGATTTATCGCATTAGAGAATGAAAATGGTCAATATTTGACTGGATGACCAGAAACGAAGACACTATGGGATTGTTGCACAATGGCAGAGCGCAATTCACCAATTTATTCACTCCGGTTAAGGTCACTGACTAGTATTTTACACATTCATTAACTCACATGATAAAAGAATGATTTCAGCACTCGTAAGATGAAAATGGTATTACATAATCGGTTT